TAGTTATTTACAGCTGTTCATTTTCTCCCTTCAGCAAGTTCTCAGAGGCATGTCTCCTGCAGCTAGGGCTTTTTTTATGTTTGTGGCAGGACTGAAGACCGATGCTTCAGGGTCATGCTGCAAGCAAAGTCCAAAACCAAGGAAATGAGATACTTCCCTGGAAAACTTTATCACTCCTTTTAGGATGATGATTTGTTAGGGTGGATTTTTTTAGCTCATATCTTTGTAATTTACTAACATGTGACTTTTCCAGAAAAGATTATATGTGTTACATTTAACCAGATAGTGTAGTTGGTTTGATTAACATACTTGTTTTCCTAGAATCTAGAGCTTTCTGTGACCTCACTGATGACTCTTTCAGATTCTAATTTGCCTTATAAGAACCTTGGAATATATGACTATCCTCTTCGCTGATTGATGTTTACTTTTGATTACCTGCATCTATTCCATCAAAGTGTATGACCCCTTGTGGTATGTTTTTTTTTTTTAATGGGACATTACATGTTAGAGTTGTCCACTCATTCATTCAGTAGATAATTTTGGGTGGTAAGAATACAGTCGTAGTGCAGGATTTTCCAGCCTTTCTCTTCTCCTGGCACTGACAGATGTGGAAGGTCATATTAATTTGACTGGAGAAAACAGCTGCGGGATATAGACACACCTGTCTGGGGGCAGGAGGGGCTTTGGTGGCTTGGTTTGTAGGGAGCGGCTGTTAATCCAAAAGCTGCATCTCCTTGGTGGTTCGAATCCAGCAGTGGCTCTGTGAGAAAAAGACAAGCAGTGTCCTTTCATGTGATTTCTAGCTTTGGAAACCCAATGGAGGGTCAGTGATGAGTAATTTCTGACTTGACAGCAATGATTTTTTAATTTTTAAATCTGGATGTGTATAAAAATATTAGGAAAAAAGTTCATTTTTCTTAAACTCTTGTTAAAATACACTGTGTTAGGGACAGTGTTATATACGGAATATGTGTAGTATTTCCATGAACTTAATTTTTTAGGAATAACTTTTCTCCACAAAGTGATGTTATTAGGTGCCATCACCTCGACCACAATGCACAGTAACCTTATAAATAAGAGAGACCTTGCCCTGCCCTGTCCCATCATCATGTTTTTTTGCCATGTCCAAGCCACTTGTTGCTATCACTGTGTCAGCCCAATGTATTGAAGGTTTTCTTCTCTTTCTGTGTGTCTCTACCTTTTCAAGTAGGATATATTTTTGCCCCTTATATAATTATCTTTTTGTCAAGACTGGCCCATCATGGCAACATACCCAAAGTATATGAGATGAAGTGTCATCATTCTTTCCTCTAAGGAGCATCCTGGTTAAACTACCTCCAGGATAGACTTGTTTGTTCTTTGGACCATCCGTAGGATATTATGTGCTCTTCTTTAACAGTACAAGTGAGAGGCATTGATTCTTCTTCTGTCATCATTATTTATTTACTAACTTTCAGATGTATAGGAAGCAATTGAAAATACCATGGCTTGGAACAGGCACAGTTATTCTTTCAAGTGACATTATTGCTTTTTAGAACTATGGAGTGGTGGTTGAAAGCAGACTTGCACAGTGTAGCCTGCCTTTTGGTCAGAAATTGCCTGAAGCCATTTCATTTCTCTGTGAAATGACTTAAGGTAATTCCAATAAGAATCTTTTTTTTTCCTGTAAACTTTCATTAAAATAACAATTACAATAAAAAATTATTACAAAAAAAAGACTAGAATCCATGTCTAACCCCTCTTCAGTGTGTATGTGTGTGTGTGGTTTTTTTCCATTACATAAAGGTTCCTAACTGAAAGTAAGGTGACTGAATGCACCAGCTGCACCAAAGGATAAGGATTCATAGTCTCAGAAACTCAGGGGAGGGTTGGCATGAGTCACACTGACTTGACAGCACTGGATTTTGTTTTGCTTTGTATTTTGGTAGATGAAGGCATGGCTAATTTGGGATACCTCTTGATGATATGACAGGGCCCTCTGGCTTTGCTGTCTTGATGATACACCATGGGATTGTTGTTGTAACTGTTAGGTGCCTTTGAATCAGTTCCAATGCATTACAACACTATATGCACCAGAACTGAGGAGCTGTGCTACCAGCTCAAAGGCACATGGTTCAGATCCACCAGTTGCTCTGTGGGAGAAAGATGGAACTTTCTTCCTGGGCAATTTACTGCCTCTGAAAACTCCCTGGAAGGTCAGCCATGAGTCTGTTCTGACTTGGTGGTACATAACAGCAACAATATCACAGAGCACGGTCCAGTCCTGTAGCATCCAGTGGCCATGTTTGAGGCCACTGCTGTAGATACTGTGCCAGTCTATTTGATTGATGACCTTTTTCACTGACCCTCTACTTTATGAAGCATGATGTCCTTTGCCAGGTGTTGGTTTCTCCTGATAACATGTCGTAAGTATGTGAGATGACATCTGTCCATCTTCACTTGTAAGGGCATTCTGGCTGCACTTCCAAGAAAGGCTTGTTTGTTCTTCTGCAGTCCATGGTATATTCAACAGTCTTTAAAAACCACCCTATTTCAAATGCATCTATTCTTGTTTTCTTTATTCATTGTCTAGCTTTCCCATGCATTTAAGGGGATTGAAAATACCCTAGTATTTTCTAGTGTAATATTTTCTAATTAAAAAATATGGAACGCTTCACGAATTTGCGTGTCATCCTTGCGCAGGGGCCATGCTAATCTTCTCTGTATTGTTCCAATTTTAGTGTATGTGCTGCCGAAGCGAGCACTCCAATAAGAATCTTGAAGTTGGTCTTTTTAAATTCTTAGTTGTCACTAATGAAAAACTTTGCCTGTAAAAGGAGGCATGTTCCTGAAAGGCAGCAGAATATTTAGTAGGTCCCAAAAGTAGCTCCTTTGTCATATGTAATTAAAATTTAAATATTTCCAACTCCTTCAATTATACTTCAGAGGAACAATTATTCATTAATTGGAACTGCCCCTCCTTTTCTTTCTTGGTAAGTGTTACGTGTAAGTTTTCTGGAATGAGTTGAAGAATGAATTTTGAATAAAGCAATGATGATGCTTTTCTGCAGGTATCCATAGGAGTTGCTCTGTCTACCTTTAATAATTACCATTTTGGATCCACTTTATATCTTCGACTAACTAATGACTCATTGTTGGTTACATGCTTTTAATGCTTCCTCCATTCCATTAACTTTGTCTATATTAATAATATTTAAATAGTGCTTTAAAGTATATTTATTCAGTCAGATCATTGAATATCAATTAAGCAATCAGTCACAAAATGACAATAACTAACTTTGAAAAATACTGCAAATTGAGAGTTACTGCTCCTAAACTAGTGTGTGTTCTACTTTTAACTCTGGGTTCAGGTTTAGCTTCGTGAATTTAGCATACTCCTATTTTAGCTTCCATGGCTTTGTTTTACTTTTCTTCAGCTTCAGTTTAAACTTGTATTTAAGTACTTGTTCCACAGTTGGCATCTGACCTTGAGTTGACTCATCGAAGTGAACTTTTCTACAATTTTCCTCACTACTGTCTGGAGAGAGAATGATCGAATTTTGCACAATCAGTGACTTATTCATAGCAAATACATTTTTTAAGAGGCATAAACGCAGGTTATATACCTGGATTTCAC